CACCCTGTATATTAGGGTGGAGCGATTTTTTGTAGTGTAGCGTAATGATACGCCGGGCATGTGCCTGTCACGCCGGTTCACCGGAAGATTTTGCGATTCGGGAAAGGCGTTAGCAAAGAAACTCGTATTCCTCTTATTGTTAGTTGGCTTTTATTTCTAGTTTTCTGACAACACCGCGGTTACTGTTCATTTCCGAAACTTAGCTTATCTCGGCCGTGCCGGTTGGGCACGCACACGCTCTCTCTTGCTAACGACGACTACTCTACCACTACACCTACGGGCGTGCTTCGGCCGCAGGCCCCTATTTCTCCGCGCGCAAGGATACACCGCGCGCGCCAATCACGGTCCTCACGGGACGCGACCACCGACGAATGTGGACGAACGCGAAAGAATCGGCGCAACCGATTTATGTACCGAACAACGCCGCCCGCCTTGAAAGGTCTTACTTTCAATGAGGATTGCATTGCTCAAAAAAAAGGAAAGATGAAACGGACAATGCAAATGAACACTGAGGGTTGTAACTAACAGTGTGACGCAGGGGACTAATCCAATTTGCTTAAACAATGAAAAGAGAAACTAACGCGAGAATACAATATGAAAATGTAACGCTAGAATACAGTATATAAATGTGACGCATGAATATAATATGAAAATGTAACGCAAGAATATCTAAGAAACGAGGGTTTCACGTGAATGAGTATTATAGACTCAAGGCGTTTCGAGTGGCAATATTGCGAGCCTGGACAAGGGCCTCGTGAGAGAGGTTTTAGCGGTTTTCACGGTAGCCGTACGCACGACACCATCCACGCCCACATGCACTTCTATTACCCGACCCAGTAACCAATGTAACGGTGGCAAATCTTGTTGCCTTACAAGGACGAGTTGCCCGGGTTTTAGTTGAGTGCCCTTGTCCATTCTCCATTTGGGACGCGCTTGCAAAGAGTGAAGATATTCATGGCTCCAACGGCGCCAAAAATGCTGCTTAAGTTGCTCAATCCGCTGCCAGCGTATAAGCGGTTTTCCTGTATATCAGTTAAGTCATGAGAAGGGAGACTGTTCATAGTGGTACCAATCAGAAAGTGACCTGGGCTTAAATACGATAAATCATTTGGATCTGCACTTAAGGCGGTGAGTGGTCGTGAATTCAGGATTGACTCGATTTCGCAGAGTATTGTTTGCATTTCCTCGAAAGTTAAGTGAGCTCTACCGACGACGCGGGTCAAATGATACTTTACGGACTTCACCGCGACTTCCCATAAGCCACCGCAGTGAGGAGCATTAGGGGGTATGAACGTCCATGACGTTTGCTGAAGTCGAAAGAACTGTTTGACATCGTCTAATACTTGTTCCTTATTTAGGAAATCAAACAGCTCCTTCAATTGATTTTGTGCACCAACGAATGTTGTGCCATTATCGGAATAGATGTGAGAAGGTTTGCCCCTACGTGATATGAAGCGTTTGAACGCAGCTATGAGCGCTTCAGAAGTCAAATCGCTCACGAGCTCCACGTGTACCGCCTTGGTTGCGAAACAAACAAAAATGGCCACGTAGGCCTTATGATTCCTGGCATTTCGCCGTTTGCCTTCCCGTAAGACAAGCGGTCCAGCATAGTCTACACCACAATGCGAGAATGGTTTGGAGGCTGTTACACGACCCGGGGGCAATGATCCCATTAATGCTTCGGAAATGACTGGTTTGACTTTGAAGCATTTAATGCAATTCAAAAGGATTTTGCGCGTCGTTGATCGCAAGGACAAGGGCCAAAAAAGTTCCCTGACTGCGGCCATGGTAGCTTGCACTCCTGCGTGCATGTAGCGAAGGTGCTGTTGAATAATTATTCGTTTGGTCAGCTCGTGATCCTTGGGTAGGAGAATTGGGTGGCAAGCGTCAAATGGTAAGTCGGCGTTCTTCAGGCGGCCACCAACCCTGATTATTCCCTCGTCATCTACGTACGGATTTAGCGATTGAATTCTGCTTGACGAATGGACTAGCTTGCCCCTGCTTAGCTCCTTGTACTCTTCGGAGAATGATTGCCGTTGTACCAATTTAACCATTAGATGTAAGGCTTTGTTTATTTCCTCGTGCGATACGAAAGTCGTGGACGGTCTTGCGTGCACTTTCAGAAATCTTAGACCGTACGCTAAGATGCGACAGACCTTGTCCAAGTTAGAACGCCTGTCCAGCAGTGAGTTTACGATATTGCAATTAAGTGTAGTTACGGCATTACAGGTCTTCCGCTCTTCCGGTGCGTCGTCGTCCAAGCTGGGATAATTGTTGTCGGGCCAGTGACTGTCGTCATTCTGTAAGAAGCTGGGACCGCTCCACCACATACCTGCATTGATCAATTCGCGCGGATTTAAACCTCTGGATAATATGTCGGCTGGATTCTGGGTAGATGGCACATGATGCCAGTTTTCAGGATGAGTTAGTCGTTGTATCTCGCCTATTCTGTTTGCCACAAAAACGGACCATTTACGAGATGATGAGCCGATCCAATTAAGGGCTACAGTTGAGTCGGACCACAGAAATGTTGGAACATCCGAAATGTCTATTGAGATTTTGATCTTCCCGATTAACCGCGCCAGTAGCAGTGCTGCGGATAATTCCAGTCGAGGTATTGATAACGTCCCCCTCGCGTGGGCCACCTTGTCGTGGTGAGGGGGCTTAAGGCGGGCGTTCGGCCTGGAGCCGTCGGTGCCGTTTTAGGCTCCGGCGGTTCCACCGGCTGGGCGTCCGCTGACTAAGAGCCCACTTGGCCGAGTTACGGCCAGGGCAGGTGGGAGAAGCGATGTCCCATGGACACTTGTCCGGAAGGGCATCGTGGATCCCCCTGCTGACCCCGTGACCAGAGGTCTTGGTCCGGGGCCCGACCGCCGGTGTCCCGTGGACAATTGTCCATAGGGGCGCTGGGGATCGAGGGAGGTCCCTCCATACCGGGGCTGGTGGGGCATTTCCCATCAGACCTCGGGGGGGGGGGGGACGGGGGGGCGAATTTTCGGTCTCCCCATGTTGGGGGGGCCGGGAAGCCGCCCCG